CTCTGCTTGCTGTCAGCACAGTTCCCCAGGCCAGCAGGAAGGATGCTAAGGGTGCAAAGGGGCAGGAAACTGGAGCCAGTGAGGTGGCTGGCCGCTAGCAGAGGGGACAGAAGGCCACAGAGGCTCAGGCAAGCCAGGCCTGAGCCCAGGACTCCGCCAAGAGAAAGCACAGCTGGCCTGCAGCTGCCAGGGTGTGAGGGCCACCCCTCGTTACAGGCAGGCCCCGCCAGCACACAGGCCAGAGCGGGCCTCTCCCAGGGACGACCCTGCCAGCAAAGAGGCACGAGTTACCGATGAGTGTCACCCTTCAGAGCCCACGCGGCCCTGGCCAACCTCCTCTCCTGGACTCGTCCGCAGGACCACGGCTCTCAGCGTAGTTTCTACCTCATGCTTCTTTCCTACCCCAAACTGCCCCCGGCCAGCTTTCACCGGCCCCTCCAACATCTGCTAACACAACAGTTGCTGCCTGTTCTGAGGCCTGCTCTGGGAGCTTCGGGGGCTCAGTGTGTGGGCAGCTGCAATCAATCAAACCTCTGTTCCAGCATCCTGACCCCTCCTCACAAACGTCTCCCTTCTGTTGGAAGCACTGCTGAGAAATACAATTTGTTGCTCTTTCAAGCTGACCAGCTTGGAGTTAAAAATACAGCAGGGCCTATGACACCCCGGGCATGGCGTTCAGCGGGTAATCCTTGATTGTCGCTTTTTTGCTGAAATCTTTGCTCACACACATGCGATCCATGTCTAAATGGCCACGCACAGCCCGGGTCTCACTGGGAGTCAACCAATGCTTGGTGGTCAAACCAGGTCTCAAAAAAGCAGTAATAAATAATGTCAGCACAAGTCCCGCTAATAAACAACTCACAGGCTCAGGCTGGGCCCTGCCCTCAATGGCACACACTGTCATTTTGCAAAGAGGAGGCTGCAGCTTCACAGAGAACACCAGGCAGAAAGCGCCTCAACAGACCACGCGAGGAAAGCTGCGTGCGGAGGTCAGCAGGACCGGCCCTGGCACGCACGAGGCAAGACTGACCCCCGGGCCACCTCTGAGCATCTGGCTCTGTGGAACGAGTGGCTGCAGTCACGGTTACAGGGAGGGAGGGCCTTTCGGGGCCAGGTCCTTGCGCCATCCCTCCCCGAGGGGGCCTCCTCTCTACAGTCGCCCTCCCTCACTCAGGACCCGGCTCCCTGCCTGAGAGCCGGGCACTCAGGCTTTAAGAAGCGAAGACAATCTGAACGCAATTCTCACCAACCCCCTCCCCCACTGCTGCGAAGGACAAGAGCCACCGCTGCTGCCAGCTGGGAGCTGTGCCCGGAGACCTGGCTGGGAGGGCAGGGCACCTGCAGGGGCGTCGGGTGGGCTCCTGGGGTCCCTTCCATCCTGGTACCACGGGTGACAGACATGAGACAAGAACGCTCACACATGCCAGCCTCCTCTGGCAGGTGGCGATTCTGATTCTCTCCCCATTTCACAACCCCCAGCTCCAAAACATGGAGTTTACCGCAGGCTGCGCAGGGCTGCAGGGCAGGCCTCCTTCCCATTTTCAAAAGAGAAGGATGAGGCAAGAAGAGGAACCAGCAAGAAGAAATAAGTGGCAAGGACAGAGAAGGGAGGGTAAAATCAGAAGGAAGGAGACGTCAGATAAAGAAAAGGGGAGTCTTCAGAACGTCACCCTCCAGGCCCAGTTCTGCCTCTGGAGATGCCCAGAACAAGCCCACGCCTTCCCTCCCAAGCCCTGCCATCACAACCACCAGTATCTGTCAGCGCTCCCTGGGCCCACATGCAGGTGATGTGTGTGTAGATAAAGACTCACACGTGTATCAAAAGATATCGCAGATACACACATTTATACACAGACATCCATACATAGCTACACACATACATACATGTGCACACACACTGACACATTTACACAGCATACACACACACACGCACACATGCGCACATATGTGACTTCCCCTATTCCTCCCAACAGTCCTATGTTGGTGGTGGCGGCAGTGCCGGTATTATCTGCTGCACAGAGATGTTAAGCAATTTGCCCAGGGCTGCCAGCCTCCTGCCCCATCTCTGAGGCCTTCTGACTTGTCAATGCCCCGCCCCCCCAAGTGAGGACCTAAAGGTGAACACCGTGTTCCGGAAGGGTCTGTTTCCTCAGAAGGGGCTGGGAGGGACACAGCCCAGGGTCACATCTACCTCTCAAGGCCTCAGCTTCTAGCTCAGAGCCCGTACCTCAGAGCGGTGCCCACCCCAGGGCCTCCCTGTGTGCACGAGGACCTCAGGGCGTTTGGCCTCTCCTGCCCGCCTGACTCTCCCGGGGTCCCTCCCCGGTCCCTTTTCTGTGGCAGCCTGGAGAGGCTCTGGCTACCATCCTTGCTCTGGGCACTGCTGGTGCTCACACAGACCCCAGGGAGGTCCCAGCCCCGGTCAGCGCCTCTGGTGGCCGGGGTTTATCAGGGCTGCCCGTTGCTCCAAAGGTCTGACCGCAATGCACTCATTCTGCACCTTCAGCCCGAGTCTCTCACGCACCTGGGCCCAGAGCCCACGCACACGGGGGCTCCTTGACAATGATGCTCACGCGGAACCCCTCCCGCCAGGGAGGCAAACGTATAAAGCAAGATCAAAAGACCCACGAGACAGAGTCTGCGATCCGGCTGCAGGAAAGGGTAGCAGGACACAGAGAGCAGCGCTGACCCTCGGCACAAGCCGGCCTTCCCACGGTCGTGCAGACCCGCTCGCTTCCCGGCAGCTACAGATGTGGGTAAGAGCACGCGGAGGCCAGGGTGTGGGGGCAGTAAGTCCTGCACCAACCACTGCCTGGCTGCGAGCAGGTTTCCCCCCCCACCCACCCACCCCCACCCCACCCCCACCCCTGCACCCTCCTGCCCAGCAACAACACCACTCACAGGGCGCCGGCTGCAGGGCCCTACATGCTCCAGGCTGCATCCAGGGCTCTTCAAATGCATAGAGGTGGCCCTAGGCCTGTCTTTCAAGGCTCCGGGAGGAGGAAGGCCCACCTCCCGAGGCCATGAGTCACCTGGTGGGGGAGCCCAAGCAGGCGGCGCCCCAGGGGAAGAGGGCTGGCTGGGTCTAGAGGCTTGGTGGGGGGCGGCTCAGGGCCCATCCATCCCCAGGGCTCTGGCCGCAGCCCCTCGGCCCACACGCTTCCCAGGGGCCCCTTCTCTGCTTTCCCGGGACCCTGCCCTCTCCAGGCCTTGGCTGGGGAAAGACAGGCAGAATGAGGGCAGACTCCTCAGGACCTTGGAGGGCTGCCTGGAGCCAGTGAAGCAGTCCATACATCTGGGCACAGTCCCACGGGGCAAAATAGCTTCAAATGGTTTCTACCCAAGTGAGGACGGGAAATGTCTCCAGTGATGCCAGTGGTGGTATTCCAACCTGTGGCTAGTAAAATACAATTACACCTGCACGTTGTTTTTATTACCTATCTAGCTTATTAGCTAATAAAATAAGCTCGGCATTGAAAATTTAACTGAAGCCATTTATCGTACCCACAACTCAGGGCTCTGGGTTTCCTTCAGCAGTCACCCAAATCTGTTACCTTTCCAGCCTTTTTGCCTATTTACATTTCTCCAGGAAGGAAAATTCCACCTGCCTGTCCAACTTGAATGAATGTGTTCGATCGTTGTCTAGCTTGGACACCCCTGGAGAGGCACTGGGAGGAAGGGAAACTGACCACGAGGGCAGGGCCTGGGCTCTTGGACAAAGGTGACCAGAAAGGCTGGACTCAGGGGTCAGGTGGGTGGTCTAGACCAGAGATACCTGCACCTCTTCTTTTGGGGGGAACCTCTAGGCTTGGAGGGAGAACTAGAGGAGAAGGAAACGCCATAAACAGAAGCTGTATTTTCATTCTGAAATGAAAGGAGGCCCGGCTGAAAAAGCAGCACTGGCCACTGAAGGAAGGCAGTGGTGCCCGCCTGGGAAGGGGTGGACACGACGAGCCTGCCTGCACAGACGTGGCCGTACGCTCACGAGCGAGGCCAACCTCTCAGCGTCAAGCTAGTCCCCACTCCCTCAAGCCCAGCCGTGACAGATGCTCACATAACAAGACTAGAAAAGATAATGCTCAAACCGTGGCTCTGAGCACCCAAGGAACCCCTGGACACAGAAGCTAGAGCGCCGCGTTCTACCTACCACATCCATCTGTCCTCGAGTGGACAGGTGGTCACAAGGACCAACCCTGCTCCCTGGGCCTCACTGTCACGCTCTGATCCTTGGGACTCCGCAGTGAGAACCAAACGCAGGCAGCCCTCAGGCTTGGAGACTGTCCTGATGATGGCGTATTAACTCCAAGTTCACCTCATTCAGACCCATACCCAAGACCGGTGCTAGCGCGAGGCAGGGCTCCGAGACTCGGAGGATAAAGCACAAGCGACGGGGTGTGTGGCCAGAGGCCTCGCCTACAGCGAACAGCAGGGATGATGACACAGGTGGCACAGAGCAGAGTGATCACAATTTCTGGATGGTCTCACACTGTTGGCAGTTTAATCAAAAGAATAAGTGCCTCCCCCCATTTCTCGTTCTTTAAAACTAACACCCACGGCCCTGATCTCAGGATCAACATGATCTGAGTGACACTGAATCCCGGCCTGTGCCAGCAGTTCCTACGGCGGCTGCAGGGATGGGCCCCTGGGAGAGGCTCCAGAGAAGTGCCAGGAGGGGGACCACCAGTGTCTGGTGACGCTGGACTGCCCGATGCCCTGCCTCTCGCCATCTGTCTGCTCCTGTACCGCTAGCACGTGTGCAGAGGGAAAGAGCATTTCTGATTTTAAATGGAAAGAAATAGATGTTTCAAAAACAAAAAAAGGGGGGGCTTGATTTCATCTTTCACTGTATAGAATTTTTAAAATGAAGAAATTAACCCACTTCCTGGGCATTTCTGACACTGGCACCCTGCAGTTGCCCGGGACGGGCCAGGAGCCGTGGAGGCTCCGATGAGCACCTGGGTGCTTCTGCAGCATCTTCCAGCACCTTCTGGGGCTCTTACCTGCGCCATCTTGGCCAGGTCCAGGGAGGGCCTCTGCTCCTGCGCCTCCTCGGGGCGACGCCGCTTAACGCCGACCTTCTTGTCGTTAAGGACACACGGCTGGGAGCGGCTGCGGGAGAGCCCACTGGAGCGTCTGGCCAGCTCCGGCGTCGAGGCAGGGGTGCTGCTGGCTGAAGGGGGACAGTACTCCGCAAAGGAGAACTGCTCGTGCGAGCAGGAGAGGGACCGCTGCATGTCCAGTCGGGCCCCGCCCACGGGGCTCGGGTCGGGGCCCCAGATGTCACCTGCCTGTCTGCAGGTGGCCGAGCCCGGCGCCCCCTGGCAGGGCTGACCGCCAAATCTGTGGTGAAGTCCCGCCTGGTCGTAGGGCGAGGAGAGCACGTTGGCGCGGGACGGGAGGCTGAAGCTGGAGCTCCTCTGCATGGTGCTGAAGCCGTTGGAGTAGCGCTGGACGCTGCCCCCGCTGTAACAGCGCCTCTTTTCAACAGGAGTCCAGACTTTGGACCCCAAGGGCCTCCACGATGTTCGGCAGCTGGACATCTCGTCGGAGAAGGACAGCGACCGGCACTGGCGCTTGCTGGGGGGCGCCGAGGGGTTCCCGTTGTGGTCACTGAGGCTGAGGTCTTTGATCAGGTTGGTGACCGCGCAGGCAGTCGCGGCCTCCCGGTGCCACAGAGCGCTGTCCTGACACTTGTCGGGCAGGCACTCCCAGATGCTGGCGCTCGGCTGGTCGATCTGAAGAGGGCACTTCCTGTCCAGGTCTCGCCATCTGTCATTTTCTGGTTTGTAAATGACAAAGAGAAACAGGATTTGAGAAGGCCTTCGCGCCAGCCCTCTGTCTCCTCACCAAGAACCCGTCTTAAACAGGATGTTAGAGCCAGAAAGGCCCTTAAAAGCCATCCAGTCCAACCTCGCTTTACAGATGAGAAACTGAGGCTCAGAGAGGGGACATGAGTCCCACGGTGCTGAGTCAGAAGCAGGGCAAGGTCTAGGATCCAGGCAGCCCCCAGGACTCCTGAGACGGTTTCCTTTCCAACATACCATACTGCCTCCCAGGGAAGTCCAAAGCACTACTGTTCACCCCAAAGGCTTCTCATTTTCTAGAAGGGAAACTGACTTGCCTCACCCCTGCCCTGGCCGGCAGCAGAGTGGGGGCAACGTGTCTGTTACGTCCCATCTTAGGGCTCTGCTGCTCTGGGGATGGGACTCGACGCCCTGGCGGGAAGACCACAACCAAAGATGAGTCTATCAGAACTTCAGAGGGGCTGGAGGTGCTGCCAGGTTAGTGCATCTGAATTCCACCTTCAAAATACTTGCCGACAATAGAAACTGGGTATTTCACGGATTTACATCCCCTCCACCAAAATGTTCCACAACCAACATTAGCTGCCAATCACTGAGGACTCTCCTTGTGTTCACTCGCTCTCTGGCTGAAATCGAGGACAAAGTGGCTAAAATCTATAGAAGTCAGTCTCGGGCTGCAGAGACGTAAGGGTACAATTTCAACTTACACATTCGGGTCTCTCCATGAATGCATGGATAAACAAGCTAACCCTGCTAGGAAATTCGGACCTTTGCACTTGAACCCTTACTTTAGAGAAATATTCAAGAACTATTTGTTATTTTTCTACTATGGAAACAGGCACTGTGCGGAGAATTTTAGGAGAACAAACTTGACACAGTTCTTGTATTCAAGTTCACAATACAAAAGCAAAGTTAAGAAATACGCTGTCAAACATGCTACCATGTTTCTATGTTTTTCTAATCTACACATATTTACAAACTGTGCAAATGTGAATATGGAGAAAAGTATGACCGAGTCAGTCAGTAGAAGGAGAGAAGTAAAATCTGAAATGACCTTCAGTAGCTATTTCACACACTCTGATTCTCAGCACTGCAATCAGTTCCCGCACGCATCCACCGTGGGTGGTGTAACCCGGCACAGTGCCCTGCACGACTACCACGGCTGCCCAGATGGGGAGACCCAGGCTTGGGGGGGGGGGGTTGAGTAAGTGGCCCCGAGCCACACACCTAACAAGTAACGAGATGCAAGCCCAGGCTGACCCAACCCAAAGCCCTTTGCTCTTTTCGCTACACTGCAGCACTGAGGGAACCACAAGGCAGTCTGACCTTGGCCCTGCCCTCAAGGAGTTTACTAGTCGTTCAGGATGAGCCATCACTCAGAAAATTGTGACGTCCTTGCTCCAGGCAGCAAGGACTGTAGGACCATCTTCTCTACCAGTGGCCACTTCTCAAAGGGCCCCGAGAGACACACCTGAGGGACTCACTCCATGCTGAGTGCCACAAGCAGCAACTACTGGACAGGTTCAAAGGGAAAGACCAGTGAGGCCCAAAGGGAGCTTCACGAGCCAAAGGAAAAGCCAAATCAGGGCTAAATGTGACGCTCCTTCCTCCAGGGCACCCTGTGCACCCATAAGACGCAGAGCCTGAGGCGCTGGGACCCTGGACAGGGGACATGGCAGGAATCGTCCAGAGGCTGTTCCCACAGGAGGGCCTTAGAAGCTAGAGAGACAGGAGAGAGATCTGCCAAGTTAGGCCAGCTGGGAACAAAGCAGGACTGACGTTAAACGTCCAGTTCATCTCATCCCTGAAATCTGCCCGGGCCCTGATACGCGGCAAGTCTCGATAAGTGTTCCTGTAACTTAATCATTACTAAAAACTGACAAATCATTACCAAAAATTATCTTTTTGCAAATAGCACTTACGTTGTTCAAAATAGGTCCTCACTACCTACCACTCCTCAAATATTCACCATTCTTTTTGGCCACACCGTGCAGTACGTGGGATCTTAGTTCCCCAACCAGGGATCAAACCCACGCCCCCTGCAGCGGAACCACAGAATCTTATGCACTGGACCACCAGGGAAGTCCCTCACCATTCTTTTAAAAGAGTTTCAATTTGACATTTGTCAGCAGTTGAAAGTTCAGTAAACTAATACTAGAGTCAAATTTTTTAAAATACAAACTAACCTTGACTGAGTCACGACCATCTCTGATTTAGAAGAAGAAAAGTTATCCTCAGAAACAAGTGAAGATTTATGTATGACGATGTTCTTCAAAATGATATGAGTGATGATGGCAAAATGGTAAACACACCTAAAACGTCCTACAGTAGGGGGCTGGTTAAATAAAGTACCGAGGAATACCATGGAGCATGAAAAAATCAGTTTCAAAGAATATTAGTGATGTGGAAAAATGTTAATGATGCAATACTAAGCATAAAGAAAGGATATAAAACTGTAGAGACAGCGTGGTTCCTATTTAGTGAAATACCTATGTTATATATATGGGAAGATAAAAAGGAAATAAACGAAAATGTTCACAGTTGATTGGCAGAGAGCTAGCTGATTTTTCTCATTTTTGTCTCCCTGGAGCTTCTACGTTTTCTATAAGGACAAATAACGTGGAGGACCAGGGCCTATGACCCCACCCTCCTCTGGGTTTGCTCCTTTGGTCTTTTAGGAAGTTCCCATCAAACAACGCTCGCCACCGACTCCCCTTTTGGGACAAGGCATTGAGATGCCACATGGGCCACAAATGTGGTCGATGAGGAAGGAACCAAGGACCCAACCGAGGGCAGTGAGGGCCCCAAGATGGCGCCATAGTGGCCCCAACTTAAGGAGCCTAGAGCCCACTGGAGACGGTCTCTGTCCCAGGCCTTGGGAAACCTGGGAAATTTAAAAGAGATTGGTCCTATCCTCAGAAGATACCACTTTCTGTTCCATTTTTCTTTCACTGCCCTGGAGTTTTCCCCATCTCTAGGGAGATCGTGAGACAAAGGGCAAGTGGGAGCCAGTTAAGCATGAACGTCCTGTCTCTCCAGTGGCTACCTTGTGATCTTGGTGCTTCCTGACTCGGGCCTCCCTACTCCAGTCCCATTTCCTTTCTGCCCCCAGAGAACTTTCTGAGGCCCACACACGTCGTGGGCCCCGTCCACTCGTGGTCTCCCCAGTAGGCCCTGTGCTTCCAGGCACGCCGGACTTCCTGTGACAGCAGAAGTCAGACAAGAGTCAGGGAGAGCCAAGATCATCCTTGAAAACCCCTGAAACAGCCCATAAAGCCCACTCCTCCTGCTTTTGGGTACAAAGCCCTGAAGAGCACATAAAACTGAAGTTTAATCAGTCTACTGCAGGAACGGGCACAGGCGACATCTCTGTGCAGAGGGCTGTGCGTTCGACTTGCTTTACGGTTTAACTATCAAATCCCCAGTGGGAACTGGGGTTGGATGGCTAACTCTCGCGTGCTCCTACCTGCCTACAGGAACTACCTGTCTCTGTTTTGAAGAGTAAGCCTCTATTGACCTTAATACATAGATGTCTTTGTTGTAGGGAGGAGTAAAAGAGTCAGCTCTCAACTCAATCCACCGGTTAAATGCGGGTACAGCACGACCGACCGCCATGGACCTGCAGCTTCCCCTCCCACGTGAGTTCTTCCACGTTTTCACACCTTTGCAGAGACCTGCACCGGTCTCTTACTTCCCATTGCAGAGGCAGCTCAAACATCACCTCCTCTGCAGATATGCCCTCTCATACAAGCCCTTGGGCACCTGCAGCTCTCTGCCTAGACTTTCAATCACGTGGCTCATGTTAACTGAACTTTAATGATCTGTTTACGGGTCTACGTCATCTATGGAGCTAGAAGTTCTGGAGCACAGTCCCAGCATGACTCTCCCGTGCCCAGTACACAGCTTGGCACACAGCAGACCTCAGCCGGTGGTGGGTGGAAGAAGGAGGGTATGACAAAGTGCAGATAAAAACTACAGAGCAGATTATGGTGTTCACTTGGTCTCGCTTATCCTCTGTCCCTGGCACAGGTAACCGTTCCTTGGCCAGGCAGGTCCAACCTGGGCTATGCCTTGAACTCCCCACCCCACCGCGGCCAGGGATGGTTGTGTATGAACTAGCCAGGGCCCTGGCTGGCACCGCAATAGCTAAGATACTTTGAAAACACGAAGCCCTGCCCGATACCGAGCACTGCTACTGTGTGTCAACACCAGCCAGGTGGCCACTTGTTCTGTCTGCGGAGCAGATAATATTTTAATTGTTTCTATCTTTATCGCTTCAAGAAGTACAATATAAGAAAAGTAAAAACAATCGAGGCTATGTTTAGCCCTTGTGTTTTCCCCCTTCGCTCGGGGAACAGAAGGCGATTTGTTGGGTCAGGTCACCAGACAAAAGAAACAGGAATAGAAGCTAATTTTTCATGGCAAACCGCCCTGAGCGTTAGGCCCAACGTCATGGTGTACAAAAGGCCTCGGTTCGGCTCCAAGGAGAGGATACCGGACACCCCCGCCCCTCCATTCAATACCACTTCTGCATAAACAACTATAACTCTTCCAGAGGTGACAATGGCCGTGGACGTGGGGATTCCACTGAGCAGGGCTCACTTGGTGTGGTGGGAAGGGTGTGGACTTGGGTTCGAGCCTCAGCTCTGCAAGTGACTTAATTAATCTCTCAGAGCCTCAGTTTCTTCACCTATAAAACGAGGGGACTGGTGATAACCACCCTGCAGAGCTATTCTGAGAGCTGAACAGTTGCCTCGCACAGGGCCTGCGAGGACGGAACAGGCTCTCGAGACGGCAGCCGTGATTGTGACCACACCGCAGAAGGCTCGGGCAGTGGAGCCTCGGCCCTTCTGCAACCGGGGACCCATCTCTGTGGGGTCTGGTTGGAACGGGAACCTGGACGCTCTGCACGAGGATGTCTCAAAGTGTGGTTGCAGGGGCATCCTCTGGGCTGTTAAAATGCAGATTCCCAGGC